AAAAAAGTAGTAGTTTATATGGAATACAGGTGGCCGATTCGTTTCGTGTGGCCGACTCGCTAGTGAAATACGTTAACATGGCTGCTTAGTCAACCCCTGGAGCCTAAGTTAGTTAGTTAACTAACTAGTAACTTGCCTTGAACAAATCAGCATCCCATCAACATCCTATAATCTGCTATTGAATTTGGTGCATCTCCCTCTTAACAGGATGGTGCCTAATCACATTTAAACATACAAACACAAAACCACACTACTGTTCAATCCAATTATTAGTGCACTAACTCCATGATTTCACAGGAGTTTCATCCTTTTGGGCGCCTAAATCATAGATTTCTCCGAGTCCACCGCCCTCACCCACAGAAAAGCAACTGGTTAACCCTTTTACCAACAGTCCTGCATTTGTTGAAACAAAAAATACATCAGTGTCAAATGCAACTCTAGTCCTTGAATTCTCCCTCTCCACTTCATCCTTCCTCTTTTCTTTCCGGCATCCTATTCACACCCAAAACGAGGGGGAAAATGAGCCTAGATCGCCAGAAGGCCACCCCAGCAGATGAGACGAAAACTTCAGAGAACGACATTCTACCTCCTCGCTCTCAATTTCCCTCGTCGCCCGATCTCATGAAGGTAGGAAAGCCGTCCCTCTAGACGTATAGCCGATCCTCATCGCGCTTAGGGAAGAGGCCCCGATACGACACCATTTCTCGTTGATCTCAAATGCAGGATATCCGAACCAGTGGTCGCGGCGTTTTTTGCCGGAGGTGTCGCTGGTGCTGTGTCTAGGACGATCGTGTCACCTCTCGAACGTCTTAAAATTCTACTCCAGATTCAGTCAGTCGGTAGAGAAGAGTACAGGCTGTCTATATGGAAAGCCCTTGTAAAAATAGGCAAGGAAGAGGGGTGGAAAGGATACATGCGAGGGAACGGCACGAATTGCATCCGCATCATTCCCTATTCTGCTGTCCAGTTTGGAAGCTATAACTTCTATAAGCGAGTATGTGCACCGGAGTCCCATTCAGAAATCAGTCAATGGCGCTGGATTCGTATGCCCTCGGGCTAATAACTGTGGTTGTCACCGCGAAGGCTAACGTATCCAGTTTGCTGAGCCTAGTCCGGGTGCTGATTTGTCCCCCATGAGACGTCTCATCTGTGGGGGAGCTGCTGGCATAACATCAGTAACTGTCACGTACCCATTGGATATTGTTCGAACGAGGCTGTCCATTCAATCGGCTTCTTTTGTCGCGCTTGGGGATCGGGGCAACAGTACCAAGCTTCCCGGCATGTTTCGAACCATGATTTTGATATATAGGAACGAAGGAGGCATTGTAGCACTTTACCGCGGCATAACCCCGACAGTTGCTGGTGTTGCGCCATATGTATGTCCCCCTACCATATTGCCTATCTTTGTCTAACCAAAAGTAGGTCGGCTTAAATTTCATGGCATATGAATCTATCCGATCATATTTGACTCCTGAGGGCGAGAAAACCCCCGGCTCCATGCGTAAACTGCTTGCTGGTGCCATCTCAGGGGCAGTCGCTCAGACATGCACATATCCCTTGTAAGATTGACCCTCGTGCTACCAAAACCGCGAATGCGCACCGAATTGACCGGCTTTTAGTGATGTTCTCCGACGGCGTTTCCAAATAAACACAATGTCTGGACTCGGTTACAAATACAAGTCTATCTGGGATGCAGTAAGAGTCATCATAGCCGAGGAAGGCCCCCGCGGACTTTTTAAAGGAATTGTGCCCAATCTTCTTAAAGTCGCCCCCAGCATGGCCAGCAGTTGGCTAAGCTTTGAGTTGACGCGCGACTTCCTTGTGTCTCTCGATGAACATTAATGTTGCCGGTTCGGACTTTTTGTATATCTTTAGCATGTACTATCAGACCTGAAGGTAGTGTTGAAAAAACCCAACCTCTGATCATGTCATAACCAGCCATCATTGGATCATCAAATAATCAGGCTTAAATGAAATACGTAGGTTTTCCAAGGTATGGAGATAATTCATTGATTTCTTATACCACAGCTGGGCAACTACGAAATGAGACAGAGGGCAGAAAAGAATAAATTCTATGCATTTACGTTATTTTCCACGGTTTCATGATTGCCTCAGAATGAAACCCCATCTATGAATGAATGTTCGCATTGGGGCAAATAGAAGGCTATGTGTTCCCATTTACGACGTCAAGGCAACCGGAGAAATTGGGCCAGCCAAAGTATTACTATTGCTCAGATAATAAATTTTCGAGTGTCCTCTAAGCAGTGATATTCCGACGATAGAATCGACTGCTTCTATTGATGCACTTTCAACCTAATTTCATGGGTTCTTCCCCCATCCCGTCTTGAGATGAGGGCGCGGAAGCAGAACCAGGATACCGCAAGAAAGCTTCTGACCAATCATGGGCACGGATTAGTATACCGCAATGGTCACTTTCATGACACAGGAAGAATAAAGGAATGCGTACCCTTCCTTCACTGCATTGCATGACTCAAAGTTAACGGAAGAACAGACAATGGAGTGCTTACTCCGTACTCGGTAGCTCCTTGGCCAGAAGGCTTCAGACCAGAGAGCCTACCTAGGGTGGGTCATAAATTACACCGTAGGGCTTTAAGTCGTGGAGACAGCGACAAAGTTCAAGGCTGCAGGTCAACTGACCCCGCCTGGAAGTTGATCAGATCTGACCTTGCGCAGTGTTTAATATAGTACGGGGTAACTGCTCCGTGCGCTAGACTACTACTACTCTGGAATACGTCCCAGAATCCTCGAAGAAACCCCTGGCATAGTTAGGCCTCATAGATATTTCCAGTCTAACAGCGGAGACTCATTGGCTAGGACATCTATAATAAGTACATATTCATTCGATCATTCCTGGCTCGGTATACGGCGTGGAAAGGTAACGGGCAAGTCTTGCCTAGCCCTTGGTCTTCCTTCGCTCCTATAACCCCGCGTCCCCCAAAAGCAAAAAAAGAGAAAGAGAGCCAGAGAGGGAGAGAGGGTGAGGAAGGAAAAATAACCACCTTGTGCTAAATGCAGGCGGCACTCTGTACTTGCACGGAGGGCGCTTAAAGGTTTGTAAAAGTGGATCGGTGGAACCATGGAAGTACTCCGTAGACAGAGTTCTGCCGGACACACGGAGTACACAGTATTTATTCCCTCTCACCTTTCCCTTGCTCGAATGCAAACCTCCACGCCTATGATAGATACAAGAGTTTTGGTAGTTCATAAATCCGCGCGTCCTTCTCTCTGCGATGCTGGTTTTCTGGACCGTTGGAATTTTGAAGTTCAGGAATCAAGATGGTTAGACGGAGTACAATCTAGGCATCTTTTCCGGGTATACGCTCCCTAAGACATCCAATGTATGTATGTGGTTGATGTATCCATACAGTAGGTAGGTAGTCCGTTGTCAGTACGGGCAGTACCTACGGAGTACGCGGAGGGCGGTGAACAGGCGTTTGCCTCCCGCCAGTATTACAAAGAATAGTGCAGAACTAATAAGGAATGGTTCCACATTCGTTTTAGGTTAGGGCTCAGCCCGCACACACCGTCCTTCTGAAATTTGTAGACTGAAAACCTCACCAGCTTCACTTTGCATACGGGTGCGACAGCTAGCCAACTCCCAGGTGTCCCGTTAGATTCAGCAGCAATGGGTATGTTAACATCTGGCTTTTGTTATCATCCGAATCAGAATATCAATTCGATGCGAAAAGATATCTGCAAGATGTTGAATTTCAAGCATGGCATAGTGTCTCTCTAACGCGCAACATTCTAGGTATCGACTTGGATCGCCACCATGTGCGCAGCACCCATCGCAAGGCGCCCAAGAGTGAGAATGTGTACTTGCAGGTTTTGGTGAAGCTTTACCGCTTCCTTGCCCGTATGGAATTGGCCTATTACTCCCCCGGTTACGACGGTTGGATATGGAACAAAACTGATCGATAATCCTAGGCCGTACGGATGCGAACTTCAACAAGGTCGTGCTGCGTCGTCTTTTTATGTCGAAGATCAACCGGCCCCCAGTTTCCCTCTCCCGCATCGCTTCGAACGTTACCGACGCGCACAAGGGCAAGACCGTTGTTGTCATCGGCACGGTCACTGATGATAACCGCCTCCTCAACGCCCCCAAGGTGTCGGTCGCTGCCCTGCGCTTCACTGCCACTGCCAGAGCTCGGATCGAAAAGGCCGGAGGCGAGACGCTGACTCTGGATCAGCTTGCTCTGCGGGCCCCCACTGGAGCGAACACATTGTTGCTGCGTGGCCCCAAGAACTCCCGGGAGGCCGTCAAGCACTTTGGTTTCGGTCCTCACAGCCACAAGGTAAATTATCCATCTCTCCGTTGGGTGGTAACATGCTTGCTAACGTTCGTCAAGAAACCCTATGTCCGCAGCAAGGGACGTAAGTTTGAGAGAGCCCGTGGACGTAGAAGGTCCAAGGGTTTCAAGGTCTAAGGGTGTCTGTTATTTACCTGCCTTGTATCAATGGCGAAATGCAATGTGATGGAAAGTTTTATGCGGAACACCTATAAAATCATGGCGCTTTGAATTACAAGAATGGTTAGCTACTCATTTCCCGTAGCTGGTGAACCATTAACATCTCTGATACGACTGGGCTGCCAAGTTTAAGCATATTTGGTGTCATGAAAAACGTAATGTAGTGCTATATTCTTTTTTGGCAACTTGTTACAGTGGCATGTTTTGGTGCTTCCAGGCTCTACCTCCACCTTCAGAATAGTCAGAAGCTCGGTGACCGGCACCCTGCACAAGGTATTTATAAATAGTCAACCCATCTAATCCGACCGGGCCCCTAGAATGAATCTTGTTCGTGCTGATTCCAACCTCGGTACCAAACCCATACCTCATACCATCGGCAAATCGTGAAGATGCGTTCCAAAAAACACCAGCACTGTCCACACTGCGCATAAAAGCTTGAGCAACGTCCCTCGACTTTGTGACAATCACATCTGTGTGTCCCGAGGAATGCGAGTTTATATGAGCTATGGCACTTTCAAGAGCAGAATCTTCGGCTGACGGGCTGATCGTCTTAACTGCTAACACAAGGTCCAAGAATTCAGTGTCATAATCAGCATCAATCGCACTCTGGAGTAACGACAAAGGGGGGCTTTTCAGAGTTTTGAGCAATGCGTCTCGGCTTGGCGCGTCGCAGCGAAGAGACACTCCCTTAGCGAAGAGGGCCTCAGCAACTGAAGGAAGAATGCTCTCAAGGATATCTTGATGGACAAGGAGAGTTTCCAAAGAGTTGCATGCTGCAGGATAATCGGTTTTCGAATCCACAACGACTCTCAGCGCAATTTCTTGTTCTGCATCGGAATGAAGATAGGCAGAGCACAGCCCGTCGGCGTGACCAAGTACGGCAATCTTTGTATTATCCTTCACAAATCGAACCAGGTCGTTGGAGCCTCGAGGAATCACAAGGTCAATAAACGAGTCTTGTTCTAGCAAGGCCGAAACGATGTCTCGAGTTTTGACCAGCTGTATGGATGACTGAGGAACTTTGGTAACAGCGATAGTCTCTGAAATAACGTCTGAGATAGCAACAAACGATTCAGTTGACTCCTTGCCACCTTCAACAGTATTAGATTTAACTACTTGATCTTGGAATAAAGCACACATACCTTTGAGAATAGCCGCATTTCCCGATTTGATGGCGAGGGCAGCTATATTCGCAATAACCTCGGGTCGAGCCTCAAAGATTATAAGTAAAACACCAATCGGGCAGCTCACTTTTTCAAGAATGAGGCCATCATCAAGAAGTGTCTTGAGTGTGACTTTCCCAACTTTCACCAGAGTCAGTAGCAGGCTAAGTTATTTAATATGGGGCATACGTACTGGGGTCCTCCAGGTCTCGTACACCTAAGATCCCGTTGAGCATATCGTCATACTTTCCAGGCTTGGATAGGTCTAATCTTCTGAGAACGCTTTGACTGAGGTCACCCTTTTCAGCGGCTCGAGTTGCCACCTCAAGATCTCTTGCATTTGCCTCAAGAATTTTGTTCTTGTTCTTTGATAGTGCATCGTGTAGCGCCGTCAGTGCTTCTTTGCGATCGGCGTCTGCTAGGGTAGCGAGGCGGCGAGAAGCTAGGGATGCAGTTTTTCCAATCTCACGTGCCGAGCAGTCGGTGAGCGACATTTCTGCGGACTCTGCAAAGATCCTGATAGGGAGCGTGCATACACCTTGAGAGACGGCCTAGAGGGACTTGGTGGGAGGGAATGAGGGGCGTTAATCACAATCACGTGATTGTGTCCCGAAGAGCCATGCATTACGGAATACATATGGAAGCATTCCATAGGTATCGTGTGGTACACGAGGGATTCATAGATAAACGGCTGCAGTATACGTGAATTGAATGCGAATAGTTCGAATTAATGGTGTAATTAACCCATGGCAGACACATCTAATTGTCAACTGATTCTTTCCAATAGGCAAACGGGGGGTATTGACATTGTGCTGCTATGCAAGATGGTGGTACCAATACACTCTGTGTTTTCTCTTCTAATGACCCGATTAAAGCGGAACATAGAGGCAGAATCCGCCAAATTCTACCTAACTGTTTCCAGCCCACCCTCTATTCCACTACTCTGTTCCATGCAAGTTGTATTTGATTTTAATAAATGTAAATTAGCAAGTGGTCAATTGACCCTGTAAGAAAACAATTCTTACAGAGTGGCCAGAACAGGTTAAGAGGACCGATGCGTGGAGTCTACCATCAAAGGTTCGAGAAAGTTCGGTTATGGTGTTTGCCGCTAGCTGTACCTCAGCTACCTCTCACCTTACTTACTCCTTCCTCCTAATTCTTACTTACACTATCTCCTGGATTTGGCACCAACCACCTAATCCTGACATCAACGCCAGCCTCTGTGGCCAGAACACAACCTAACCACCGGGAGTCTATTCACGGCAACCAAGAAGAGCACGATGTCTCGCCCTGGCACTACCCTGTATGTCACCGGTTTTGGGCACGGAACTAGAGCTCGCGACCTTGCCTACGAATTCGAACGGTACGTGCCGCTCGTCGATTGCTACGCGCTACTGTGACCCGACGATCCGTCCCTCTCCTCGCAGTCTACACCTCGGTTGAATATCGCAAATATCGACGCCGGAGTCCTATTCACAGTGTTATCAGAATGATATATTCGCTCCGCAGCTCATAACCTCATCCCTGAGCATTCCCAACCCCAAGGACCAGTCTATTTATTGCGCGCCCATTTCATTATCTTACGTCGTTAACTTATTTGGCTTTTGCCTCCTTCTATCATATTCTGTTGCTAACAATGTTCTAGATATGGCCGTCTTGTTCGGTGTGATATCCCAGCGCCGCGTACCCCATCTAGCAGGCTGTGCGTTTAGAAAACCCCATAGTTCACCAAGCCTTGATTCTAATATATCTCAAGCTTCGCCTTCGTGGAGTATGAGAGCCGTCGCGACGCAGATGATGCTTACCATGAAATGCACAACAAACGAATTGGCCGCGACGACCTGCTGAAGATCGAAGTAAGTGCTGCAGCAGTCTTTTGTGGGGACTACTTTGCTTTCCAAGTCCAAGCCCAAGTACATACATTAACCTGGTTCTTAGTGGGCTCGAACGCCTCCTTCCGCTTCTTGGCGCTTTGACTCTGGTCGTGACCGCCGCCGTGACCGTACTCCTCCACGCCGTGGCCGCTCGCCATCCCCTCGACGTGCCCGTGGTGACTATTCCCCTCGAAGAGACGACAGATACGAAAGGGATTACGAGCGCCACGACCGCGAATACGATCGTCGCGATCGAGATTATGACCGTCGAGACCGCGACTATGACCGTCGTGATCGCGACCGTGAACGCTCTCGTGATCGTTCTCGTAGTCCTGATGAAAGGGATCGTGACATGAAGGATGACCGTGAGCGCCGTGATGATGCTCGTGAGCGCCGAGACGATGAAAATGAAAATGTACCAAACGGAGATGATCGAAAAGGTGTGTCTACCCAACTGTTCTTCACGACTGACCTGTTACTCATAATCGCAGTCCCTTTAGACCCCATGACTTCGGCTCACGATGAGCTTGATACGGCCGAGTAGGTTTAACTCCAGTTGATCAAGCTGGATTCGACTTGATACGCCTTTACCATGCTTGTTACGAGGGAAAGGGAGAGTAAGGTTGTGAGATGAAAATTGTGAAAGGTCTATTCCTCTTGATGCCCATGTTGATGGGGCTACAAGTGCTAATAGTCCACGCGCAAGATTGTACGCCGGTATTTCATCGTTCCTGTTCTTTTCTTTAACCCTTTGTTCTTTCGTTCTTTTTATTTTTATCTTTGCACCGGATCGGACTTTTCCTCTCCTCATTCCCTTTTTCTCTCCCATCCCCCTCTTAGAAAAGTTGCCTTTGTGGTGGTTCTTAGAGGTTCGGACTTGGTTTCAGTTTGGACATTGGTATTCATCGTGGTCAGCAGCTCGAGCCATTACCGATCGAACATCGAGCGACCTCTTTCATCTCACGCCGCGTTTTGTCGTCCTTTCCCTCGTCCCGATTCCCAACCGTCCGTCGTCCGTCTAAAGCACAGTTTAATATAAGACGATTCCATTTCCCGCTCTCCACACCCGGTGGTTGTGAGCTTTACAATGTCGTCTCGGGTCGAACCAAATCCATATAAAGCTCAGCGTAGTGTACAAGGACTTCTTAAAACTGTATTTTTGGGCTTCGTAGGTGACAATTAGCAAGAAAGTCAATCTATATATGTTTGTAAGAAACGCCTTGTGTTTAAAAATTTTTTTATCTTTTTTTTTGGCTCTCGCAGTCAGTAGTATGTCCTCTACATGGCAGCCTGATAGCTGCGTCGCCTTGTGCGCGCCATGTCTACCGTCTGAAGCCTGGTTTAGAGATGCTTTCGTGTATATGTGAATAGCCAGAGCCGGATCCTCACTCTCATAACACAATTGTGGAAGGTGTAATGAGGGTACAAAGAACGCTTAGGTAAAAATCAACGGATTTCTGCCGCGAATTGGCAGAGGAAAAATTTCGGTTTTGCAAAAGAAGTCATGTTCACCATTCCTAGATATTTGAAAGGAATAGGAGCGTTGATGGGCAATTTCCCAATTAGTGCATTTTCTCATGTGTGGCCATGAGAGAACCTATTTTCCCGCTATTAGTAAGACAGTATACTCATGTTTAAAGAGTTGTCACTTCAACTTACCGATGAATGTGGTTATCAAGCGAGACCGCACTTGGCAGATATCCTCAGGTACCAACCAGATTGTTGCACCCAATTTTCTCGCTATGCTGATGCTCAATTTGGCATTTCCATAGGCCTCCTCGTCGGTTCGGCCGGGGGTCACCAATTCGTAGTCCACATAACTACTCTTCAGCCCACTAAGCACATCAAGAAGGAATATACCAGTTCCAATTGACTGGTCTTTGAAGCTTCGAATGGATGAAGTTTTGCCTCCCTTGCGAGACATGTCGTTAGCCCACCGAATCATTTCAGAATCGGTAATTTCACGCTTGCCCATCCGCTGAGCCAAGCTCGAGAGTGTGTTTGTGATATCCTTCCGCATCAATTGCCACACCAGTCCTAATGTAAGGGTGCGCTGGCCATCGGTGATATCGGCCCCTTGTACACCTACAAGAGAAAAGCCGACATGCTTTCCAAGTTCAGTTGCATAGTTCGTATTCTCCACGGCTTTGAACCGCATCATCTCATTTCCAGCAGCTGGTGCCTTGTTAACATGTCTCCAATTGACACTGCCTGGGATGACCTTATCGTAGGCTTGCAGCAGTACAGTGCCATCCCGAAGGTCGTCAAACAATGAGTTAACCGCGGGCTGGACATCCAAGGAATTCAGCCATAGGGTGAACACTCTGGCTTCTCGTTCCCCTTCGGCATCGAAATCCTCGACTTCTAGTTTATCCTCTTCGGTTATCGGCTCGAGCCCAGGAATGGTGTTAAACAAGTTGGCCACAAACGCAAGATTGAGTTTTGGATTTCCAGCAACGAGTGAAGTAGGTGTCAAAAACTTCCGGCAGCCCAGTCTGTCCGCATTCTCCAAAACTTGCTCCGCTCGCTGGAGCAAATCCTGAGTTTGCAAGGGCCCGCGTGAGCAGGTGTCGGGTGCAAGTTGGTTGAGGAGAACGGTGTAGTTTTCACCATCCTTTACATCCGTAGAAAAGTTCGTCACCCTGTCACAGTAATGTATCAGAAATCCAGAACATTCATATTTAACGTGATGGTCGGGGGATTTGGGGGTGGTTAAGAGTTCGATGAAATATATGGCGCTCATCTAGCTGAGATGTAACGTACCTTCTATCCCACTTCGCGTTCTTCAGATGGTAATTGAACCAGCGCAACAGGATTTGCTCCGGGGGCAGACGAAGAAATTGCTCCAAGGTCTCATCATCTTCCAGGAGTCGATATAGCTCGGGGTGGAGTTTTATATCAATCTTGCCCAGAAGGCCTCGACGAATAATTTGCCAGATCAATCCTAGAATAAGGTGTTCTCGCACTTCTATGATATCACCGCTTCCAATGTTCACAACAGAGCAACCAATGCCCTTAGCTGAGTTGATCACGATGTTGTTGTTTTCCGTCATGTGAAATGCATTGAGCTCCTTGATCTTCTTTCCCGATTTGTTCAGAACTCGCTCATCAATCGTATCCGGTACACTGTCGTTGATCAATTTCGCCAGAACCAACCCGTCTTTACATTTGTCAAACATTTCAAAGGTGTCAGTGGGAAATGGCAGGGAGTTTCCAATGTCTGGATCGCCGGCAAGGACAGCATTGATATGCCTTGTGAATTCGGTTCTCTCGTCCTCGTTAATCGTATGAGTGACATTCGCCGAGGATCCTTGAACGTGGATCCTGCCCCCAATACTGTTTCGAGGAACATGTCGAGAGCCCGTGACATTTCCCTGTAGTGCAGCTGGGGCGGCGCTAACGGCAGGCTTGCTTTCAGCCGGAGCAGCGCGAAGCTTGGAAATAAGCTACGTTTTATTTAGCAGACCGATCAGCTGGAAGTTTTAGAGATAACACACTAACATCAACGTAGTCTTCGAGCTCCACGCGACGAGAGCTGTCGAGTTCGACTTCCTTCAGCGCCTGGCGTACGACATCATATGGTTGGCGCTCCGATTGTTGGGTAGACTTGATAACGGTTGCTTCATCCAAGTAGCCTTTTTCATCAATGTCTAATTTCCTAAACGCATCCTGAAGGGTGAAGATCTCGCCTTGCTCAAACTGAGGGTACTTCCTGTTTGGTCAAAATCAGTTAGGGGCGCATTCATCCAGATACATGCAAGCGACAAAGTATGAAATAGTCGAAAAGGGGCATACCGCTGAAGTTTGATCACATTCATTTTCCCGCTCCCTTTCGTGGCCTTTCTGTTGGCGGCGATGTCTTTGATGTAATAACGTGGGGGGCTTGGCTGGCAGATATGCGCGAAAGAGGACTGAAGGTCTGTATAATACACTGGAAGCTCTCAGGCTATGAAGATAGACTGATCAGACAATGATGGTTGATACCGCCAATGCGCGTCTTTCTGTTGCCAGTCTTTTTCAGTGGTGAGTAGGTAGAAGAGAAGCGAAGTAAGTCGAAGCCAGCACTGCCCATTCGGAGTAAGTATTATTTAGGCAGCCTGGGTAAGACCCGCCCCGCCCAGGAAGGAGGGGTGATGGATGTCATGTTTACAATACCTAATTACAGAGCCAATTCCGGGTTACGAGATACCGTACTGACGCCCCACACACCTACGGTACCGGTACTGGTTGGGTATGACCACGGAACACCCAGGCTAGGCACTGTAGAGCACAGTAATAAGAGGAGTCAAAAAGCTTATATTTCAAGGATATTGACAAGGCTGGATGAATGGTTGAATGGAGAAGCATTCTTTTCATATGAGACAACCCTTCTGTGTCTTCACTGCCCAGTAAGTCTACACCGTACCTTGCATGATGTACATACATACATTCATCGTACAGTCTACCTTACCTAGGTTGGCGGGCAGTATCGTCTCGTTTCCAGTGCCTAGGTACCAGTTACATACCTACATGGGTACAGTAGTTTACCCGGCGCTTTGTAAGGTATGTATGTATGTATGTATATATGTACATACATGCGTACTGAATATCTACCTACCTACATACATATGTATGTCTACATAGTAGATAGGTAGGCATATACTGTAGATAGGCTGTAAGAGGTAGGCGGGCCTCTGCTAAATAGATTAGGGAGGTAGTATATAATTACAACTAACCTATCTACCTAATCTTGGCTGACCCCACGTGGGAAAGTAGTACATACAATACGCGGCTGGCATCCTGAACGAGGTGACATAGACGATTTCCTCGCTGACATGACTGACGTCAGAGCTGGTTGCCCACAGTACATCATAGTTAGCGGTACCTGCACCGTACTAACGTACGTACTCACAAGCCTGCTTATGACTAAAACCTGGCGAAAAGTCCTGCTTATTGTGGAAGCAGCACCTTACGGATATGCCTATCTGCACTAACAATTACCTACATAGCCCTATCATAGGTTATTGCCTTACCTCAAGTTTTGCGCATTTGGTTGGGGGCGGCTAGGTACTACATAAGGAACACCTGCCCAGGCTTTATGGAACAGATGGTGTAGATAACCCGTAATTCCACTGGGCACCAACCCATATACCCAGCAGTATCCAAAGTAAAAGAACCTTCGGCTTCCTGCTTACTTTTGGGTTCATAATTAGGCTCGTCGTATACGTCGTACGTGACTGTAGCAAGAGATTGGGGGTCTGTAGCTCTCGGACTAATCAGTGATGTGATCCGACGGTGGCTTCGTCATAACATCATCCGGTTGGAATCCTCGACGTACTTTACTGAGTACTCATTTTCACTGCCTGCACGGAAAAGCACATCCCAACCCAACCTGCACATACCGTATCGCTCTATGCTAAGTTGTCCGACTCCCCGCCTCCCATCCCCACGGCCCGATGTCCCAGGAACAGCATGGCGCCCGGGAATTCTCTTTGGGGACAACAACACAGACTGTCACCACAAGCGAAGCTTCGCACAACCAGGACGTGCTGCAACAATCCAAGGGTGAAGACCACACAGTTACGCACACACATCGACTAGGCCTGCGTCGCTATCCTAGGGATTGCCCTCCCTTGCGAGTAAGATGGTTCTATGCTGTGGACTCTCCCAAATGGAAACCCCTGTTATGGGATCAAAAGAAGGACGCCTCGAAACCCCCGCCGCCACCCAAAAAATTCGTTCCTTTTTCATCCAAGGACTCTCACGCCATAGAGATCGCCTTCCAGAGGCTTTCCGATATCGAGGCCGCTCGCGAACAATCCAGACACGCCGAAACCAGTGGAAGGCCGCAGGACAGCACTACCAAAGTTGCCGTCAATGAAGACTATCTTTTTGATGTGGATGTGGAACGAAGGGAGCTTTCCCCGGCTTACTGGGCAGGACCTGTTTACGAAGTTCGTCGTGGAACATGGTTCTTCCAGGATGGGTCTTCAATCAAGCCATGCGAGGAAAACCTAGCCACACAACTTGAAGAAGGATACCTTAAAGTGAAGCCATGGCGCTACATCGACGTCCATGACACCGCTGCACATCGTTCGACGTACTCGAAGACTTCCGATACGGGTAAACCTAGCATCAGGGAAAAAAATGCGGCTGCACACATGGCTAATACAATCAAGCAGCGCCTGGGCTTTTGCCAAATTCGGTCGAGAATGACGGGCTTGCAGCGCCTGTGTCGGCCAGTGGATCCCGGAACTATCGTCTCTTTGGTGCTTATATGAAAAGCATCGTAACATATCAGGATCACTCGGCGGCATTAATCACGAATGATGATTTCATGTCTCGGGTGAGCACAACCGTGTACCAGAAGCTAGGTGGAGTGCCCGGAACAAAAATAGTACGTGGGTTCATAGAGACCGGGAAAGAGAAGGCACCCTCGAACATGCAGAGATCACCAGGAGAAATGTTGCCTGGGGCACCTGTAAAAGGATTGGATCCCCACGAGACAGACACTCATGGCTCATCGGATGCCGGAGTAGCTCACAGTCATTCTCCTCAAGGTAGTCCTGCAGGCGGCTTATCGAAGTCAACACTGGAGCAGCAGATGTCCTCTCTAACAGGCGAGAATCAAGACGAAGCTCAGCTTGAAGAGCAAGCACGCAGACAGGAGGAAAAAGAGATGGAGGATTCCCGAGAAGTCGACAATGACGACAGAGAGCGACAGATTGATCACCTGGTCCTCGTCACACATGGCATTGGCCAGCGACTTGGGTTACGACTAGAGAGCATAAATTTCATACACGACGTGAATGTTTTACGCAAAACTATGAAAAGCGTTTATAAAGCCTCACCTGACCTCCAGGCTCTCAACTCTGTTTTCGCAGATAGCCAGATAAACTGTCGTGTTCAAGTACTACCTGTGTAAGTCGAATCTATTGGACTCTAGCACGGCTAATGATGCAGCATTTCCAATGCATATAATGATGGAACTATTCTGATCGTTTCTAGGTGCTGGAGACATCTACTTGACTTCCCTTATCGAGGAGCGAGACACAATCGCAAAGAGCTTGACCTTGCTGATGCAGATTCTTCCGAGGATGACTCCTTCCCTAGCCTAGCTGATATCACTTTGGAAAGTGTACCAGCAGTTCGAAATTTAATATCTGACTTGGCAATGGATGTCCTCCTATATCAGAGCGCCTACCGTGAGCATATATCCAAAATCGTCAGTCAGGAAAGCAATCGAATCCTCAAGCTCTTCAAGGAAAGAAATCCGTCTTTCAGCGGATCGGTTAGCCTATGCGGGCACTCACTCGGTAGTGCCATTCTCTTTGACATTCTTTGCCGCGAACAGCCCGCTCGTGAGCCTGAGCAGAAGATACCCGTAGAGAGAGCAAACGCATCAACAACCAAATTACGGAATCAGCAACTGCATTTTGAGTGCGAGGAACTTTTTTGCCTTGGCTCTCCCATCGCCCTTTTCCAAATGCTCAAGGGAAAGACGATTGCCGGGAGATCAGCACCAGACATTAGCAGGTCCGGGATGTCCCTTTACCCCGGAGAACAAACAGAGGGTACCCAATCTTCGTCTTTCTTGTCCTTCTCTAGTCGTCCTTTGCTCATGCTACCACAGAAACCAATTCTATCGATGGCCATAATCTAGTGTCTTCCCCGAAATGCCGCCGATTGTATAATATCTTTCACCCCTCAGATCCAGTGAGCTATCGTATCGAGCCTCTTATTTCACCGGCGATGTCATCATTGAGGCCACAACCCTTACCTTCTGTTAAGAGGAGTTTATGGGCTACATCTGGTCAAAGCCTTTCAATAATAGGTAATCGTGTGGGGCAAAGTGTTGGGTCTCTTTGGAACAATTTTACTTCCGGCGTTGCAAGCAGCCTGCTAAACCGCAGTCTTGGTCTCAATTCTGATGACGACGCATCTCAACTTTCCTCAAGCGAGGGCTATCAAATGCCACAGTCAAGACTATCCCCCGGTGCCGAAATCTCAGATTTCCATACCGACCGGCATCCTACGCTCATAGACTCGGGCTTAGAAACGCTGTATGAAGGTTTCCAGAGGACCAGACAAGCCGAAAGATCGGAGGCTTCGAGTCTTGGTGGTCATTCATCTATTCAGCATGAAGGGCCAGATGATCATTTGAAAAAGATTCGGATCGAAGATGCCAAAGTGAGAGCACTTAACAACAATGGACGAGTTGATTACAGTATTCAAGAGTAAGGGAGTCCTTTTCCCTCTAGGAACTTCTATCAAACAGCAACTGACAGAACCGATCACTCTTTGAACAGGGGGGCTTTTGATATTTCTTTGATTGCAAGCATCGCTAGCCACTTGACTTACTGGGCAGATGAGGATGTCAGTCATTTTTTGCTTTCCCAGATGCTATCTAAGAAGCGACCCCATTAAGGCGACTTGGAACCTCGATTAGCTCTACTTCGTCTCTGACTAGTGTCCTCTTTCAATTGGGGAACAGGTCTTTTGGTAGCAACGAGCGTTCGCGTGTATATAGGGAAGTATTGTTGAGTCATGTGATCAGCCAATGAAGTATTTGGCCTATTTACCCCGATTGGTACATTGAGAAAGCAAGACACGTCTAGACTGGGGAGATGCCGTAAGGTAGGGCGATGGTTGCCTTATATGATCAAGAAGTGGCATTGAAGGGGCTATAATTAGTAGCCAATTTCTCATATTCGGGCCATTCAGTTGCTTATTGTCAAGTTTCTAGGGGTACAAATGTTTAACTATGTAGCTGAGTGGCATAACTACTCTGTTCATCGACTTTGATGGATAAATATGCATATGACTTCATCGACTGCACATTGTATGTACCTATTAATGCTAGGCACCTTGTTACAATGTACCCGACCTACGAAGTACATATTATTTGTAGCCGCTGGAATGCCTCTGGGCAGGTGAAAGGCGGTGGGTGGTCGAGCGGCTACGATTAGTCACGGACTACTATTTTCTCCGTTCCGGTAAGCGATGGAAATTTCTATCCCTTTAAAAAAATCCCAAGCATTTCTTTCCGGATGGACGGACACCTTGCAGACATTATTTAATTGAGAATTCTCAGATTCCCTCTGAAATTTGTTGTGTTTATATATATGTCTTCAAAATTTCTCATTAACCTCGCGATATCTATGACCAGTTATACCGACAATTTGATTATGTGTGTTAAAAGTTAGATTGCTGTGATCTTGGTCTCATGAGAATGCTCCGTCGGTATCACCATTTACACACTTGTCACATCAATCATCTTTCACGCTTATGTGACCAGCCCCCACGACAATGCTCTCCTCTTACTAGACATCAAGACTTTATGGTGCTGATCATCTTGCTGACAGTACCAGCAAATGCTGGCAAACACACCATTGTTATTAGGTCTGCAAACAGACTCTCCTGCTAATGCTATTCTGGATTATAGGTAGGTAAACAGTGTGACTCTTGCACCAAGACTTCCTGTCTGTTGCCAAGGATTGTTGAGCAATCAGGTTACAGGAAATCAAAGTCCTGAAGAACTATAATACACCGCTATCTTCTTTGCATCTGGCATGGAAAACATGTACTTTGAGTGTCTGGATTCACTCGGATAGCGGAGAAAAATTCCATTCTTTTAGCTTTAGATGCCGTGTCTTCTTCATAAGACAGGGTAATTGTGAATGGGCATATACTATACCTTTCTTTTGGATATTACATGACATGAAATATAGTCAGCCAATTAATAGGGAAATCCTGTTTTAACTATAACATGTAATCTATCACAGTCTTCACACATCGACGTGACCTATACCATCAGAATATCTCTAGATAAGGGAAAACTACTGTGTATATAGTCATGACTACGTAGATCTTTTTATTGTTCCTATAAATGGAGGGTTGATTTGCTTAAGGCGGTTCATGAACCTCGCCAATCGTCTGCCCTATGCTGATGTTGATAAGCTATATATAGACTCTGGAGGACTAATCCACTGTAACTATTCCAGCAACTACGGTGTTAGTTACAAATGACTTTGAATGTTTAGCAAAAAATTCTATACAAGACAACAAGCTGCTGTTATCTTGCCAGTTCGATTAAATATAACTAATTGATTCTACCACGTTCTTAGTGACCATCCATCCCATAACAACACCTCACCGAGTTATCTGATAGCTACCTCGGTGGTATGTGGCCAGGACCTAATTGAATTAGTTAGTCACAAGAGTAGGTTAACTAGCGTAACTTCCTAACTGATTGATGTAGGGAAGAATATTTCAATGGGATAAAGAAAAGGGGTTGCAAATTCTGGCTTTCATGGCACCTTCCTGGCCCGTAGGCCCAAGTTTATAATGGCGATCCCGGAGCCGGGTCTTTCCTTCATCCGTGACAGTACCTCTAGGTGTCACGAACTTGCTCACCCTACCTACACTGTACAAGCTATTTCTAGCCAGACAAACAATCTGACGTTTTATCTGCCTAGGTATTACCAAAATATGTTAGCTTGTTTGATCCATCAAGATTCTAACTAAGAACTTTACAAGCATGCTGTGACTAATGTCTATCTACGAAGTCAATAACCATGAATGGCCCCCATGAGATACCTAGCTGCTCGAAGTCGCATGAGTTTGATCATGATAAAAACTTACACGAAGAACATCATACACAAATAAACAAGCCCAGCAAAAGCAATAATGGTGATCAAATACCGGCTCAGCCCAAGGAAATTTCCAGCCTTATTATTCATTTTCTTTCAACATCCAGCAATGAAGCTCTCATTTGTGTTTTTATATGCATGGTGGGAGCAACATATGTGGTGCTCGGGAGACTTGGCTTGATTATGATTGGATTTCTTAGCGGTGTTATCCTACATTCATCATGGGAAGAAACGAATCTCACTGTCCTACCGAATCCCATCAAGCGAAGAGAACTTTCGTTGAATGTCGCCAATAGACTACTCGATTGGCCCGGGCGCAAGTCTGCTCATGTTGAGTCGAGACTTGATAGCATCCAGTCAATTCTCACCAAGGAAATTTCGGATGAGCCTGCTGATTATTCTTCCTTTCGCCCTAAAACAGCATTTGCTTTGGATTCACTGACCGACGCCATCATCAGAGACTACGTGAAGTAAGTAGTTCACCCTAAATATGAGATCTGAGCTCACCAGACTTGATAGCTACTGGTACGAACCGATTTTACCTTCCGAAACAGCCTTTCCTCGTTCCTGCCGCTGTATGTTCACCGGCTTTGTTAAGTCAATGGCCTCACATCTCGCACGGAAACGAACTACGGACACTTTCCTTGAGTTTTTGACCAATTCCTCTTCTATAATGATCGTTTTCCTGAACGAACTCGCGAATGCCTTTGAGAACGTCGGTTCCTCTACGAAGCCGGAGGAAATCGTTCGACGATACCTCGAAAAATATCCGGAGAGCAGCCTAGCAAACGTGTTGGCCGATCCACAACAACGGAAAAAACTGAACATCATTGCCGATGATATCCTGTCTAGCTTTATGGACACGACGGCTTATGGCTGCGCCCCTCTTAGAACCTTCTGCCGGGAAATCTTATGCGGCGTCGTCCTCGAGTCGACCATTTCCAGTCTTTCGCGACCAGAGTGTATCAATAGCTGGATAATACATCTTTTTAGTGAAGGAGAGTCTGAGATAATGAATGCAATCGATGCAGGTGTTGAGGGGGTCAGGAACCAGGGCGTAACTGCTGCCAAACGCCCGATAGATGCGGCGGATGCACCTCGGCCAACGTCATCCGACAGCTTTGATACGAACCTGAAGTCTCCCGGTCGGACATATCAAGAAAAGTCTGAGAACGCGGATAAAGCAACAAAGGAAGCCATCACCGAAGCAAAACGGCTGAGCGCATTGATTGCCGCCCAGGACTTACAGAGCGGATCCACCGATAGCAACACCTGGAAAGCCCTTGTTTCTTTGCACGACGAGGATCCCACTTTGGCTTCTAGCACTTCGCCGAGGAAGGAAGAAGGCGAATTCGAGCCAGCGAAAAGACAGGAGGATCCCGAGACTTTTCCAGAACCGTCCAACGCGTGTACGAGGAATGAAACAAGTCCAGAACCAAGATCTACATTGTCATCGCCGATGCAAGAGGACCATTCATCTCACCAGAACTTGGAGCAGCATCTATCATTGCCACCTTTGACTCTTCACCGTGCATATATATCAGTGGACGATGGTTCAGAGTCCAGCGACGCCTTGGTTCGATCGAAGCCAACGTTCAATTACATGCTTCAGGTGGAACCTACATCTTCACAGAGAACTGGGTGGATGGTCTTTAGAACTTATAAAGACTTTGAATTGCTCCATGAGATCCTAGCGGCTATCGCAAGGCTGAACAAGCTACAATTCGCAGATACTTACTCTTTACTGCCCACCTGGAAGGGGCTGACAAACAGAGCCTTAGTAAAATCCTTGGAGCAATACTTGCAGGCTGCCCTTCAGCACGAACCGCTTGCAGAATGCGAAAAAATGAGACGGTTCCTCGGAAAGGAAGGCCCTGTTGACCCGGAAATAAAGAATGCGTCCACGAAGCCTGGCTTTTTCCCTACCCAGGCGGCGTTAGAAAACGTTGGAAGAGGAGTCTTGGGTGCTTTAACTAATGCCCCCAGGGGCGTCTCTAGCGGCAGCAAAACCGTTTTCAGTGGGATGACGGGGGTTTTTGGAGCAAACCCAAGCAAGAAACCCAGCCCGACTCTAGATGCTGATAGTGCACCTCTTAAAGACTCTGTTCAGTCCAGTGACAAATTCCACAGTACCTCCCAGAATAATCAGAGTCCAGGGGCAGAGAATGCGCCGGCATCTAGAAGCGGTGTACGGATTCCCGCAACTCAGTCTCCTTTGAGTGGGATCTCTCACGCCTGTTCACCGACCGCGGAGGACAGCCTCGTCGACTCACAAGCGAAACCGATTCATGACAATTCAGCTCATGCTCTGCTTAATGACGCTGTCGAAAATCTAGAAACTAGGCACCATGGTCTTGCAGAGAATGTGTCATGTTTGGATGAAACCCTCGAGAAACTCAAACCAAATGGACCCAGTGCGGACCAAGCATCTCCTACCAAAGACAGCATTCCAGGCAACAAAATAACTACAATATCATATGAAGAGACTCAGGTGGCGATTGAGCTCATCTTTGCTGTCATAAACGAATTGTATACCTTGTCCTCCGCCTGGAATATACGCCGAACTCTTTTAAATGCGGCCAAATCCTACATTCTACGTCCCGGGAACCCAAATCTAGAGACAATACGTGACCTTCTGCAGAACTCGATGATTGACGCTAATACATCAGATGAGGCAATTGGGCACTACCTCATGAAATTGCGCGAGAATGCCCTGCCAACTAAATCGGAGTTGGATTCCTGGCCGGCGTCCCCTAACGAGAGTGAAAAAGAGCGCCTGAGAGAAAGGGCCCGAAGAGTCTTTCTACAGAAAGGCCTACCACAGGCACTGACAAGTGTGATGGGAGCAGCTGCTAGTCGTGAAGCCCTCGAAAAGGTTTTCGATTGTCTTCAAGTCCACAGTGTCGCTAGAGGCTTTGTTTTCTCTATCTTACTGCAGGCTCTGAGAGCTATTATACTTTAGAGGACATGTACGTAAGAGCCTTGTAAAGATGTGTGCAGATTCTAGATGAATGAATGATTATACTTATGTGTATTTTCGAAGCAACATCTTCAATTTATGTATTTGCCAGCTTTCGAATCCGATACCTTGTTGCCGTATCCAATCATTTCCGTAGGTAGAGATGACAAGAGGGATACTTCCGGTCGATGTAGGTAGAGTGGCTAGGTGTGCGTTCCGCCTTCCAAAAGAAGCTTAGTATGTAAGCTGTTCTATCTACTCCTCTCGTAGGTAGGTACACCATCGCTAAAAAAACCACCTGCGGGTTTGTCTTGGCCTTGAGGACTTACTGTTACTCCATTTGACTTGTCAACTTAACCAGCCAACTCGTATCCCCTCCAAGAATGCAATAGAGGACATAATGGTTTCTGAAGTCAGAAAGCGCATGTCGGGTGCTGATGATAGCCCTGTTCATGGTGAACATTCTCAACCGAAGAGAACAAAGACAGGATCAGTCCAAAGTGCTGCTCCTGATGCCAGATTTCATATAGCTGCAACATGGAAGACTGATTCAAACGGGGATAAGTACTGGGAGATTTCAAAAATGCGCAGAGTCATGATATCGACCTTTCGCGGCAAAACCATGGTCAGTATCAGAGAATACTACGAAAAGGATGGCCAGGAGCTCCCTGGAAAGAAAGTAAGCTCTCTTTAACTTGTTATTTTACTTTCGAGAAAGTTTACTCAATGACATCAAGGGTATTTCTTTGCCACTCGATCAATATGCCTCCCTTGTGACTTTACTGCCTGAGATCGAGGTTGTGCTCAAGGAGCAAGGGCAGTCGATTCCTCGGCCTGAGTACACGAGTTCGGATAGCCGCCGAATGGAAGGTTGTGATTCGGAGGACGATGAAGAACTTGCGGATTTGCCGAAGAAGAACATTGAGGCAACCAGTGACGAAGACGAGGATGAAGACTAGATCAATTACATGAAGAGGTTTGCTTGCAGGGGGTGGAAAACATCTGGTGGATAGAACGATGCACTCCTAATGATACTGCGGAGTATTCACTGAAGGTCTTTCCTAGATATTGAATTTTGTCGCAGGACTAAACTCGAATCTGGTTCTGTTGGTGGGTTGTTTTCAATAGCTAGTCTACTCCCTCCCTCGAGCTAGGAATCCATAGGAGCAAGTATGTTTAATAAAATGACCTTCACCGGTTCCCTCGCTTTCTTTTTTTTCTCTTTTCTCTATTCCTGGGGCGAGCGATTGTTACTGGCATGGAAAATTTAGGTATAGCGACACGTGCATGCATCACTGTCTACAGTGATTAACTATAGCTGTACAACTTTGCTGGACGCCTGACTCTATCGGGTAGTGGATACCTCCATATTACCCTTAGACAACCGTGTTAGGTATGTTGTTATTTGATACCCAGAATTACTGTGCTGTCTGTGGTTGATACTGGATATACAACGTGTTTTCATCTATAAAACGGACTGTGTGTGATGACATACTGGAAATAATTTAAGAGCGTGGTTGTAGAAGCTCCGCCCATACTGTACCAAGTTAAACCAATGGTAATTTGAATCTCCATACTCGGTGTACCTTATTTACCTACCTACAGCACGACGGGGGTGGTTTCAAGCCTGCATAACGTAGGTAATCCACGGGCGAGGGGAACACACGGGTGAGGGGAACGTTTTCTCCGTAACCTCCGAAAATCCTCAACTGATCACTTTCAACACGCCATTCTTTTTATTATTATTACACAAAAATGACTCCTTCTCAAGAAGCCCGAATTCAGTGGCTATTGACGCGTATAAAAATTAAAAAAATCCAATCAAAATCAAAGGCTGCTGCAATATTTGGGGTGCCTAAGACTACCTTTTGGAAGCGGCTTAATGGAATTCAATCACGATCAGAAACACACGCCAACAACCATCAATTAACAGCTCTTGAAGAAGAAGTCCTTTCTAAGTACTTGATAGATGCAGATAAATGTGGCTTTTCAATTCGACCGGAGTTTCTGCGTGGAATAGCGCAGATTTTACTTTACAAGCGCACACAAGATCCTACTACAACTATAGGTGTCAACTGGGCATTTACTTTTATCAAACGCCATCCAGCACTGCGTACACGATATAATCGAAGAATAACATACCAGCGTGCAAAGCAGGAGGATCCAAAGGTTATAAGACCATGGTTTGCGACTGTACAAGAAGTGATTCAAGAACACGGCATACATGAGAATGATATCCGGAATTTTGATAAAACTGGCTTTGCAATGGGGCTCTGTACAACATCTAAGGTTATTACTGCAATAGGTAGGGCGCAGTGAGAGATCTCGCAGAGTTATTCAGGGGAATCGTGAATAGGTTACAATCATTGAATGTGTAAGCTCTAAGGGAATTCATATACCACCAGTAGTTATCTTGAAAGGAAAAGAACACCGAGCTCCTTGGTATCAAGAGTCTAATCTTCCTCAAGATTGGAAGCTCACCAATAGCGCTAATGGCTGGACAACGGATGAAATAGGCCTTAAGTGGCTGAAGCAAGTGTTTGATCCTTTTTCTAAACTACATTTAACTGGTGCGAAGCGGTTGCTCATTCTTGACGGCCATTCAAGTTACCAAACTGCATATTTTGATGATTTCTGCAAAAAGAATGCAATTATCTGTCTTTGTATGCCTCTGCATACATCCCATCTTCTTCAGCCACTTGATGTTAGTGTTTTTGGACCGCTTAAACGCGCATAGAGAAAACTAGTTGAGGGGATAATAGTAGCTGGAAATAACCATATTAACAAGGAGGATTTTCTATACCTATATCCTTCTGCACGTGAAGCAGTCTTTACTCAAAAAAATATATGCAGTAACTTTGCAGGATCAGGTCTTAAACCACTTGATCAAGACCGAGTTCTTGAGAAAATTACCTTTCAACTTCCTACACCAATACCGCCACTACTTGTTGAAGGCTCAATATCATCTGCTTTTCAAACACCCCAGAATCCTCGTCAGATTGATCGCAAGGTTCAAAGCCTACAGAGCGGTCTTCAGAAGAAAAGAACGCTTTCTAGCAGTCCAGTCTGTCATATTCAACACCTTGAAAAAGCCGCGCACATAGCAATAAATATGAATCTTCTTCTTCTCCAAGAAAATAAGGTTCTACGGGCTGAAAATGAGCGAAAAATAAAGAAGAAAGCGAGGAAACGTGCTTCCCTAGGAAATTATCTCTTTATATCTGTACAGGAAGGTCGTGACCGTATTCAGCAGCTTGATCAGGTGGTGAATCCGTAGGTTGAAGATACTGAACCTAGGCCTCGCAAGCGCGCTCCACAACGCTGCAGTTGTTGTGGGACTGTTGGACATACAATACGGAATTGCCCTAGTAAATAGCTATATATTTCATCTTTTAAATAGTCTAATTTAATGGCATTGGTGGTTGAAATGCTTCAGTATTCTTATGGCTGCGGAGAAACCGTTCCCCTCACCCGTGTGTTCCCCTCGCCCGTGGATTACGTTAATACCCCCCTGTTTACCTAAGGTGGTAACTAACGTCTTAGGTGCGGTAGTTAGCGCATTAGCCAAGGGCAACAACCCAGGGGATAATAGATACATCTGGAATGCATCGACCTGATCCAGACAAGACAATGTAAAACCTAAGTCTCTAGACACTTTGTTACCTGTACAGCACGTGCTCAGCAAGAGCCGCACAAGGTAAGAAAGTAGACACGCACAGACTGCCTACTTACCAACACCATAGACAGTTAACTATTGTATGTAGATAGGTAGCTGTAGTTTAATAGGTGCTTGTATGGATTACTGTGTAACTAGGTGACAAACCCATTAGGTAAGACATGCTTCCCCCCCTTTTTTCCCGCTTTTTGGTACTAGCCATCAACTGACTTGCTGCCTGGGATTTTACTCTCTAGCGCGTGCAGCCATTGCCCTCTTTTCCCCAAACTCCAATTAACCCCTGCCCCCATCTGGTCATTGTTTTCACTTGAAAAGTGATTTTGGTCTACCATTTCACGAGCGGGATGCTTCCGAGACTGACGACTGGATTATAACCGACCCGCATGGTTTCTTCACCGCCAGCTTAACTATACCCAACTACTACTTAGTATTAACACTCGGTCAGTGCTTGTGTCTCCAGACTAATTCCCCAGTCAAACGGCAGTAACTTGGACTTTGACTGACTCTCATTTTAGAAACAATAACTGGCCCAAGGGTTTCAGAAATTGCTTCAAACATACTCGATTGGCGGGGGGGGGGGGGGGGGGGGGGGGGGGGGGGGGGGGGGGGGGGGGGGGGGGGGGGGGGGGGGGGGGGGGGGGGG